GAGGGAGAGTCCCCCTCCCTACAGGCAGCCGCATCCACGTGTCATGGGAGGGAAAATGGCCGCGGATCCTGTTCGTAACCCGATCCGACGTTCGTGAACAGAGGCAAAATTTTGCGACCGGAGCTGTTCGTGAACTGAAAAGTTCGTGAACAGAAGCATGTGACCCGAGGCACCACTGTACTTCATAAGCAATTACTGATATATCTGTAGTTCAGCTCCTATGGCATGAGGCACAAGGAATCACAAAATAGGTTATTGCAAGATGAGTGAGTAAAGTACAGAACTGATCTGCACTGCACTCCCTCAGAGGAACGCCAGTTCCTTCCTTCCTCCTTCACAGGAGACTCCACTGACAGCTGGAAGAATGTTTACAGAAAATAATAATAAGATAAATTTGCATGCAACAGTACACAGACTGGGATTCTCCTTCCCCTGCCCCTTCTGAATTGTGAAGCACAAGCTGGAGGTTCCTGCAGTTCTTCTTCTACAGCAGAAACTGCCACTCTTATACTTACAACTGTGTATTAAGCTTACACATTTTAAGGCTAGACACCTGGTAGAAACTACCTTTTTTGGCTTTGATGTAATCCATGCTTTCCGTGCTACTGTGCTGTCCATTCTCAGGCTCTGCCTGAGTATAAGCTGCTACGCCCTCAATCATAGCACAAGGCAGCTCCTCTCCTCCTGCGCTGGTGACATTCAGCTGGATTCCTTCTGCTGTGAGAGAATCATAGCCGGGTCCAGCAATGATGATCACCTGTGAGCCTTGCATCATACCCTGCACAGGGCAGCTGGCTACTACTTCACCAAGTGTCTCTTGTGAAACATTCTCAAACAGAGTTCCGTGGCCTGAACTCATTTGCATGGGCACTGGCACGCATACCACAGTTTCCATTGTCTCTGGACCATTGAGGGGTGGATTGTGGCACATGTTAGCACCCTGTTCTGCTCGTAAGTCCTCAATATGGTGTTCAAATGGAATATGGATGCCATCCTGTGTGATGAGCCCACTGGCATTCTCTCCCTCTGCATTTGCTGAGGGTTGCTGAACCTGGGACTTGTCCTTCTGATTCCCCAGTTGTTCCTCTGTCTCAGAGCTAGAGCTCTCTTCTGAAGACTCAGAGCTTCCAGCTCCAGTGCCATTGGCAACTACAAATTTCAACAAAGATGAGAAAATCAGTGGATAGTTTCTTAAAAGCACAGACAAACCCTACAGCTAGATTCCTTACCCCCTTACTATCCACTGACAGCTATCCAGAACTCTACACTATTCAGCAGAGATGAATTAGGATATCTAAACACCTGCAGAACCACAGCTGCCCTATTTGCCTCCATGTATAAAGCCCCCTCTTCACACTTATTAACAATTCTAGATCACTTAATAAGACCAAAATCTTTCAACACAACAAGTGCATATTCTTGCCTTCTGTTTCTTCCACCACTACTCTCTGTGTAGAGACCAAGCATATCAAGAACTGATTAGAACCATCTGGTTTTCCCCTCCACTGTACTTCCTCAACCTCTGTATGAAGTGAATATAAACAACAGTACTTTCTGGATGCTATCCCGCTGTCTAATTTCTATAGTACCTGAAATCAGATAGTTAACTAGCCAAGAAATCTTGTTGGAAAAACAATGTTAGTGTGCCTCAATCAACCTGGAAAATAAACTAACTTGGCACTAGGAAATGTTCTAATGTGCTAGAAAATGTTCTAATGTGGCATTAAAAAAAAACAACCTTTAAATCTTTTAAAAAGGCACATAACATTATTTGTCACAAACTGTCAGAAAAGACAGGCTTGAAATGAGGAGAAAAATATGAAAAAACACTCACTGTGGCTAAAATAATGTAATATTACATAGACATTTTAATATAATCATTTCAAGACAGTAACATCTTGCCTTACAATATTCAATCTGAAAAAAAGAAAATAACTGAAAACTGTAGATACACTAATAAAACTTAGGAATTCAAAGAGCTGTCCATGATGTGTTGATAATTTCAGAAATGAATTTCTTTTCATTAATGCTGTGTTGGGCCACCCCCAGCCTCACTGTTATAACTTAAATTGTGTTCATGCACTTCCAAAGTGATCCCAGCTTGTCTCACTGATTTCCACACTCAGTTGTACTAAAGAATAACTCAGAAAGCAGCTAGCTATATGAGTTGCAAAAGCTCCACAGAAATATTTGCTACATTTGACTGCAAAAAAAAAGTCAGGTTAGAGTTTTAACATTCAGGACACTCTGCATACTTACCATTGTCACATTCATTTTCAGAATCACTGAGTGGTTTAAGTGGTGAGTGCAAGTCCTGGAAATAGCGGTGCCCTGCTTCACACTGCCACACAGCTGTGGTGTACATCCCAAAGTTGGGATCCAGCTCAGAGAGGTGAGGCTCATATGGGCAGCGGTTCTTGTGATCTTCATACCAGATGACTGTGTTTTTCAGGCAGTTCACATTCCGCCTTCTTCCTTGGGACATGTTAAGAATGGGAAGGAAAAAAAAAAAAAGCAAAAAAAAAAAAGAGTTTGAGAAACTTGGAACAGATGGTATGCTCTCTCTGAAAGCTAAAGACAGAATCCATCTGTCTTTATATATTATATAACTTTATGTTAATTCTTTCTACATTTAGGAAAACAACTAACTAAATCAATTTCAGTCAAAATAATGCAAAAAAGAAAAGAAAAATAGCCTTGAAGACCCACCTTATCACTGCAAAGCTGTTAAAATAAATATGGTTTAAGCCACCTCAAAGACAGTGTATTATCATTGCTCACATTGCCCTTTATTGTTAATGACAATAAAAGATGAACTTTTTGAAAATACTGAGTTGTTTCCATTTCATCAGAAGGAATGCATAAATGAATACACTTTCTTTTGCAATATCAGCACTTTGGAGTAGTACAAAGTCATAGAATGCTTTAGTACCCCATGATACAAATTGCATATCTCTAGTCACTAAGCTGAGTATTTACTTGACTACTTCCTGAGACTTCAGTTTGTACATGATACATTATGATAATAGAGCAATCTTTTGCAAGCTGAAGCTTATGTAAGAGCAGCACTGATATTTAGGTTGCTTGACCTATGTATTTCTTCTACCTTTTAGAAAACACAACCCTTCTTCATTCATTCTATCTAATTTTGGACATCAGTAAGTCCTACGTACAGCTGGTTTAGCTTAGGCAACAAAATGATCTATTCAGCTATGTTCAGCCCTGAAAATTATACAGAGACCACTATCTATCTCTCCCACATCTAGTTAACTCACAAGATATGGAAATGTCTTATAACAGAAACCAAAACTTTTGTAAATGAATAAAGAAAAATACTGGTTCCAGTGACTATGAAGCAGGACAACAATTTAGTTCAATGGGATTTATTCCAGGATTATATACTACAGTCACAGCATATCAAAACTGGTTTTATTAAAAGATAGCAATATTCTTGCTATAACTGAGAATTTATAATTTGTACTAAACAAGAACCATTTAGGCGCAATGATTTCAGCTCTACTCTAGGAACTACTGCAGGCTAAGAAAAAAATACAGATTGGAGCTTTTGAATACGATAAAAAGGTAATTAATAATTTCTTAGGACATTTCACTTTTAACAGCCATTACTCATAATGCCAGCTCTATCTAATATAGTACTTTCAAAAATTTGAGATTCCTACATGAACAGGGCATGTGATTTGTCTAATTACTGGAAGAATTATTCTCATTACATGTTGAAATAACAAAATGAATTATCCTTCAATGCTCATGTCAATACAGAGGCCAGATTTTTAAAAATCAGCTAACTTAGATAAGCCCCTAACATTTGAATTATTGTGTCAATACAAGAACTATAAAACATTTTAACAGAAAATATGATATACTACAAAGCATTATCTTTTTATTTTAATCTCTATTGATACTTTTAAAAAAGACAGAAAGCAATGTAATTCCAGGGAGTCAATAGTGATATATTATGAGAATATGATGGATTTTTCAGCACAAATATACATTTTGGCTTTTAAAGTTGTTTTAAAAATATTTGGGCCAATCATGTGAAATAAAACCTATAATGGATGTACAGCAGTTTCAGTGCCAAGTTTAGTGTGGTCAAATATAGTAGAATCAATAAAGAAAGTTACAAGTTATAATGTGCCCTTTGATCTCTTGTTTGTTTTTTTGAGAGAGATGTAAAGGTGATTATAGCCAAGAAGAATTTTAATGGATTTTTACTTGAATAGCAAAAATAAAGTAAACAAAACACAGACCACATTAGATGCAACAAAACTAATAAAATTGATTGGGTTATAAGTGGGAAAATTGTTAAATACTGGGAGACAAGTGAAAATTATTTAACCAGAGTCCAGTGGAGTTGGGCAGCTATAAAAAATTTGAATTACTAAATTAAAAAATAAACTATTTCCGGAATCATTACATAGGTAAGCAAGGATTCTTATACCAGGAATCTGGTATAATTATAAATGTTCAGCCAAATTCACTGAGATTTATTTTGCACAGAACTGCTGATAATTTCTGTATCACTATAAATTCATTCCAGACTTTCCATTTGATTTCTTTATACTTTGTGGCATTTTGTTTTTTTAATGTTTCTTTAATTTAAGATCTGGCTGCAATTGATTGTCTGCACTTTTGAAGTCAGAGCATGAATAATGCTTGACATATCAATCCATAGATTACACTTACTTTTTTTTCGCTGTGGCTCATAAGGCATCTGCTCCCATGGTTTTCTGCAAGTAAAGATGGCAGCATATCATTGTATGCATGTAGATCTCCAGAAGTGAATGCTAGGACTTGTTTGCCAAAGGAAAGCCTTATCCAAAGGAGGTATTACAAGCCTTTGAAAAATCTCTTCAAAGATAATATTTCAATAAGACTGTCATTCACAGAAAGGAAAATGATGGTAAGAAATAAGGAAATTATGTTTCTAAAACCACCTAAGCAAGTTTATACCCTAATCAGGACTCCATTCTCTAACAGCCTTCATCAGAGCAAAAAACAACTCAGAACAGAATTCTAACATGCTGTCACACTTTCTCAGTTAGAGCAATCACTGCCAATGAGCAACCAAGGACTCCATCAAGAACAGTTATCCACTATTAGCTGATCTGGTATAATTCCTAGATCACCATGCATAGTAATATAGATTAGTCTCTGATTTTCACACAGTTTTGAGACCTAAATGTTACATTTCCAGAGAATACATGCATTCTCTATGATAAAATTAAATTTAGAATACGACTGATAATTTTCAGGGAATTTTTAAAAGATTTTATAAATTGTCATTGGCTGCACAAATGTAGTTGGCAATAGATGGTTATGGAGGATACAATACTCATATGTGACAGCCAAATTATAGTACTTCATTCTGAAACAGCCATATAAGTGCCCTGCCTGTTGATAATGAAAAAAACACTGGATGGTGATAATTTGCCAGGTTTTCACCTGTTTCTAATTATCCATTTCTAAATGAAGTTACAGAAAGAGGCATTAGGAACACCAGCTGGAATCCAAGATGACATAAGAAGATGCCCACTTGCACACTGAACCATCTCATTCTCCTTTCCTCGAATGCCTTGAAATCTACTCTAGAAAGCGAGATGCTCTGGAGCAGCAGAATTCGAAGGCACACAGGGACAACAGGACGAGCTGGAAATCGCCCTATGCTAATCCCCGAAACATAATGCAGTTTTGCTGGCAAAACCGCACCATCAGCCTCCGTGCGCAGAAAGAGGCCTCGTGCCTCTCCCAATTCATGTTTTCGGAGAACCCTTCGTCTTTGGTCCTTGCCTCCTTCGCAACTGCCATCGGAGGGAAGGCCCGCGCTTCTCGCGCCCCGCACCTTGTTCGATATGAGGCCCTCGGGGGGCGTACGGCTGGGCGCTCCCCCACTCGCGTTAACCGTCTAGCCATCTCCTCCCTCAGCCCCTCCTGCCGGCTCTCACCCGCGGCGCCCGGCCCGCTGTTCTCGTTCCAGTTCCAGCAAATAAGCCGCCAGCTTGGCGTCACTCCAGCCACTGCGCTGCCTCAGGTCCACCCACGGGCCGTGAGACTCGCCCAGGTAGACCCGCCGCTCGTCGTATTTCTTGCGGGATTCGAGGCGTCGTCGTACCCGGTCAGACTCGGTGAGGCGCGGCCTACCCCGGGCCTTCCGCCCACCACGAGCCTTCCGCCCACCCGGCGCAGTCTCGGCATCCACATCCCCAGCAGCGACCT